TGCACCATTTTTTGGTGCACAAAAAACTGATTGTGGAGAATGGATAGCAATTCCAGAAAGAATGCCAGATAATTGGGTTAAACGAGAAACACCATATTCATTAGTTGATATTATCGGACAAGTATTAAAGTTATATCTACCATATCCAGTTTTATTTGGAGGTAATACTGGTCAACCAAATACATTCATAGCAGATCCTCAACAACTATCAACTAATAATCAAACAGTTAATGGAACTGCATGTTTCATATATCAAGCCATTTTATCAGTTACACCATCAGAAGTAGATCCAGTTGTTATTATTCCAGCATCGGTTCTTAGTTATATAATTGATAAATTAGACCCGATATTTGGTACTCAATTTGGTTGTCCATCAACTAAATTCAAATTACCATAAAACAGAAATCTAATTTAAACTTTATATAGAATTCATTATTAAAATTTAAAAAGAAATATTAATGTTTTGTTCTAACTTAACTTTGCTATTGACTATTTTTTATTATTATATATATGTAACTAATTTATCTAATCACGCTTGTTATTCACACATGTTTTTAAAGTAAATAAACATTTCAATTTTCTTTTAATTACTTGAGTCATAAAAAACTAGATATTTTAATCGAAATAATGACAAAAAATAAAGAAAAGTATTTTCCAGGAAAGTTAGAGTCAAAAATCAAAGTTTTTTATGCCAAAATAATCAGAAAAAAGCTCTGTCGGCTGTGAAATTTTCATCAACTTTAAAGAAACTCACTGTGGATACACTCATACAGACACATAAACGATTTTAAGTAGACAAAAAGTACTAGAAAATAAAATGCTTGTTCTTATGTTTTTGTCCACCATTATAATCAGTTATGGATCTATTCGTATACGAGTTTGAATATGAAATAAATTTAAATGAATCATCCAAGGAAAGGGACAATGTGTAAGATCGACGTTTAATTCATAAGATTTTGTCGAACGAAGATTATTCATACGAATAATCCGATGATTGCAATCAAGAATTAATTCAATTATATCATCTTTTAAATAATCACCTATATATCCATTCATATTCTTTGAAATTTGTCCGTTCATAAACGTTTCATTTTTGCCTGCCCAACCATATGCTGACAGTGACTTAGTAGAGTTTGATTGCATAGGTGTTGACTTGGAGATAATACCAAAAAACCACCATGGACGCATATCAAGAGTTTCGATTTTCAACCGAATTCGATGGATGCCATTACTATATTCTCTTTTCCCACGAATTTCACCATGACTACCGAATAGATTAAAATTATGGCAAGCGAGTTGATTTTCTTCTTTAATATGCACATCACCACACGTTTGATCAAATACATCTCGTTCATTGACACGAATTTCATTTATGAAAGAAGACTCTATTTTTTTCTCCTTGACAGAGATATTTGGTTTCGAAACGATTTCTTTCAATTTGTCTAACTTTTCCTTCCATATCACTAAATCTCGTTCATCATAATTACCATCTCGTTGGTTTTGATGTAGTTGCTCGACGATTTTATGAATATTTCCAATGTTCTCTTCGTCGTTCGATACAATCATTGTCTCCAATTGTTGACGTGCTTCTTTAGCAGTTTCTTGTATCTTTTGAATCGATTTTGTTTCCCAGGCATCAATATAAAATATCCAAGAAGATTTCAAATCAGCGTTTGCTACACGTGATGTTTCCTGAAATTTATCTAATTCACCTACAAATTCTTCAACCTGTTGAGTAAGTTCATTTCGATGTGTATTCATATCGTCGCGACAAAATATACCTTGGCATCCTTCACATTTCAGAATGCCTGCTCGTTTAGTACAAGTAGCACAAGTCTCCTTCATTTTTTATTCTTACTATCGATTTATTATGCTGTAAAAAAGTAAAATGTTTACTAAAATAATGTTTACGAAATAAAAAAACGTGCTTTTTGCCAGCTTATGTTTGTGTAGTCAACATCTTCAAGATAGAAAAAAGTAGAAATGAAAAACAAATATGATTCATCGCTACTTAGCATGCATACGAATGCATAGGATACATAAATTCTTTTTGAAAAGAACTTATTTTTCTCATACTCATCGTTGTGAATATAAATGGAGATTTTTAATGGGAAAGCAGGTATAACAATAATTTTATATTGTTTTTCGTCATATTCTAATTCCCAATACTATTTCAACTCTTTCTATTCCATTGTTTGATCAGTTCAAGTCAACATCATCACCGTGCATCGCCGTTTCCTTGCAATTGGAGCTCTTGAGGGTGTGGGCGCAGGATTATTCGTACATTCGTGTAAGAGATACATAAAATATTCGCATCCTTACCCATACCGCACTATTTGTCAACCTGTGGAAAAATTTATTTTCAAAGCATGTTTGAGTTAGAATTCACGATTACGAAGCAATGAATTATATTTTCATCATGTAATAATTAAATCATGATCGTTTCATTTATGACAAACAATGAAAGATAGTTATTTACAAGATTGAAACGATATAAGTTCTGTTAAATTTAGAATAAGAAGTTTTATACTGAAGTTTTATTTTTCAAGAATGTACAAAAAAATGAAACTGATTAAATTTGAATGATAATTTGTGTACACAATCATAGTCTTTGTCAGAAAGAAAAAGATGAGGATGGGTTGCGAAATCTGTCATATACAACTTTTGAAACGTGTTTCATCAAAAGACGCTTTTTCATTTTACTAAGTAATGAATAATAATAATATATAGTTTTGTTCTACGTCATTTATTAGAATAATAGGGAGAAGTTGAAAAAGAAAAATGCCGCTGGTCATATCTTAAAGGTGTGAATGTAACCTCTTACACGTACATCAATACTCTCAAAAATGAATAATATGTTCAGTGAATTATTATTAAAAGTCATAAGGTAGACAAGCCGCTTAGGAAAACAGAAATATTTATTATGAATAAAGTGACAAGTTAATTAACTCGTTTTATTAGAAGAAGCATCTGCGACATTTCATGAGTGCTTCTTTTGTTTAAAGAGAGAACAGACGAATACATGTAATTATTGACTTGAAGAAAATAATCTTTGTGTTAGAAGAAAGACATTTCTTTCTCCTTGATAAAATTCCTAACTAAAAGTATAATAAAAGAAATCTTCAGTGAAGTAACTAACGAATTTTATCCCAAATGAAAGCTTCCCGAAAACAGGATTTATTAGTACTAAATATTACGAGTTATCAAAAGTTGTTAAGTCATTTTTCTGAAATAAAAAATTCTAGAAACTACTTAAAAAATCTTAGAAAACTCATTTGTTTTAGATCGAAGATATGGAGCGTGAAAAACTGCATCTGTACTTGTAAAAATAATGAAAAAAAAATCTAATTTTATTGAAAAATCGGATGTTTTTCTTCGATCTGAAATAAATGAGTTTTCTAAGTAGTTTTTGGAATTTTTTGTTTGAGAAGAATGACTTAAAATTTTTCTAATATATACAGGTTTGTAGAGCTCAATGAACTCTATCGAATCATGCAAGAATATTCACAAAAAAAATCTTTACTCCATTTTTCAATTACCAGCCCTTTCATTTTCTAAGCCAAAAAAAATTATAAAACTCCTGCAGATTTCTTACGTTCGATATTGACAAGCTTTCATTTGGTATCAAATTCTTTAATTACTCTATCTGAAATCATAGCACTACCTTCCTCGAATAATATTATTTCTAACCCTGTATATTGAAAATACAAATAATCATGACAATAATAGATCTTGAAGGTATAAGTATTTAATATATTTCACATAGAGAGTGATTTCATTGTTAATATTGATAATAATGACTATGAAATCGGAAATAGATAAGTAACATTTAAGGTTAAATGAAATCTTCAGTGAAAGAAAAGTCATTATCGTTCTTTTGTATTTCTCTATTCCATCTAATGGAACTAATACGAAGAGTATAGAAAACGAGGATCGTCAGAAAAAAAGAAAGTCGACCATTCTTTTTTTTCTTTTCCTTCATTTTTATTTATGAATCTTCTCATCAAGACATATCATGTCAATTGCACTAGTCGTACGCGAAAATAAAAAGCTTGTTCTCGAAAAACTTCCTGTAATTAAAAACAAATTCTATTTCATCAATGATAATTTTCTTACTTTTTATTTCTCTAGTTACCTCAATATGGACCCAAAGATCTTTTAATTAAAGTTACTCATGTTGCACAAAATCCAACTGATTGGAAACATGTTCATTTCGGTTTAGATAAACCAGGATCTATAGTTGGATGTGATTTCGCTGGTGAAGTCGTTAAAGTTGGCAAAGAAGCTGTTGGTAAGTATAATATAAATATCCTTTCGCTTTCGAACTAATAGTTATCTCTGAGAAAATTTTGAAAATACATGATTTTTCTATTCCACACCTTCGTATATCTGACTTTTGTCATCTGAGTATTTCTGGTTTTTTTCTACATAATAATTTATCTTGAAAACATATTTAAAGTTCATACAAATTAATGAGAAGATCTTATTCAGTCATCTCATGTTTTTAGAAATAGAAGATCAATGACGATACCCATTTCATCATAATTAATATTTTACTAGACGAACTAAAATAACTCCAACATGGATAAGTCTTATGATGTTTTGAAAAGATATGCGGTGAAATTCATACGAAGAATGACAATGCAAAATTTCTATAATAATTTTTTAAAAAACATTCAAAGGAAAAAACTTGTCAAATAAAACTGACGAGAATTAGAAAATTTTAAGTCTAATTAATCTGTAAATATAGACATGAAAGTTGTTAGCATAATTCCAGTGCGACTAAAATATCAAATAATTTATTAAAATTAATATTTAGGTAATTATAAAAAAGGTGAACATGTTGCGGGTCTTGTTCATGGTGGTCTCGATTCTCAAATGGGTATTCGTGGTGCCTTTTCCGAATATGTTGTACAAGAAGCATCACTTGTTTTTCGTTATCCATCAACAATATCTCCTGAAGCAGTTTCAACACTTCCTCTTGTATCTATAACAGCAGCTCTTGGTATATTCCATGAAATGGGTCTACCTCTACCACCAGCAACAATTAAAGCCAATTTTCTTGTATGGGCAGGTAGTACGAGTGTTGGACAATGTGCTATTCAACTAGCTAAATCAATCGGTTGTTATGTTATAACAACAGCATCACCTGCTCGTCATGATTATTTGAAAGGACTCGGTGCTGATATTTGTTTTGATTATAAAGATCCTAATATTGTATCACTGATAAAAGAAGCAGCTCAAAATGATTTAGCATATGCTTTTGATTGTGTCTCAGAAATCGATTCAACCAAACAAGTATGTGCTGCACTTACTGCAAATAATTCACAACTAGTCACGGTTTTACCTTTTATCAAAACTGAATTACCATCACATATTACAGAACATCGTGTATTAATGTATACAATTTTTGGATTTGAAAGAATCCTCTTTGGTCAATTTTACCCGGCAACACCAAAAGATAAAGAATTTGCTGAAAAATTCTACAAACTACTTTCAAATATGTTACTACCGAAAGGTCTATTGAAACCAAATAGAGTGACAAAGATACCAGGTGGACTGAATGGAGTACAAGAAGGATTTAAACGAATGATGGAAAATAAAGTGGCAGCTGAAAAACTAGTTTATACACTTGCTGAAACTGATCATTCGTCTAAGTTAAGATACGGATGGATTTGTTGCCAAAGACCTTCTTTACAAGACGAACATTCTTTAAATTGATTTCTTAGACATGTATTTCGATACAATTCGTTTATGTACACCATCATAAATGTTGTTTCTTCAGTATTTAATTATGAAAATATTAAAAACAAGAGCAGGTGAAAATAAATATATCGTGCGTAATTATCTTTTTAGTTTCATTCAATTTCCGAATGCTAAATGTAATGTGATGTACATAAATGTGGCTTAATTTATATGTTCTAAAATTTAATAGTGAAAGAATATTCATCACAACCTAAAAGAATGTGAGTTAATCTTGATTCTCTCTATGTCACTACGCCATTTAATTCAATAATTGATAAAATAATTTTTTTTTCTTGCCTGTGTCGCATGATGTGCATCATATAGAAGTAATTATCTGTTGTATTTGAAGAAAAAAAAAAATTAAAAAAAAAAAAATATATTTTTGAATGAATCAGTTGAAGTATGAATAAAAATGATATTAGGCAATATTATTGAATTTTTTTCAAATATTTTGTTTGTAATAGAAAATTAAAGATTGATAAATATTTCGATTCATTAATCACATCATATCAGCTAAGTGATGAACGGTGTGTTAATGCATTTGTCCTCTAAACAACTCTGAATCATTTAATGCACAACCTTAAGTCAAATGAAAGAAACACGATTACTAATAAGAAGATTTTTTTCCGTCCTTATTATTTTTTTTCTTGTTTTTGTCCTTGGAATGAATAAGCAGCAAAGAACGACGAACGCCTTCGCCTAAGCTAATGAAGACGGAGAGTAATGAATGCACTTTTATATATATATAAAGGAATACTTTTTTTTTTATATAATATTTCAACGAAGCATAAACACGAAGAAGAAACTACTTTATTCAACTATGAGTAGTGCAATAAATAAACAACCATCATCTTCGTAAGTTTAGAAATTAATTTAAATTTTTAATAAAAAATATTTTATAGAAATTTAAATGATGTTGAACAACAAGATCAATTAAGTAAGTTTAAATTTATTCTTTTTTTCAATTTATACATATAAAAAAACAATTTATAGTCGCAACGAAAAATGTTAGTCCAGTTGTTGAACAACGAGACAATTTTCCGAAAGGTTTACGAGGTGGTGGTGCTTGTTTCGATTGGTAAATCATAAAACTTGATTTT